AAAAAAAGTAATAACTCTAAGTATAATATACAATATGTATATGTACATACAGTATGTACTTTATAATAAGTATCCATATAGTATAGATATAATATATTAAATATTCATACCAATGTGTACCACAGTTTAATTTTTCTAAAACACCTAATACATTCATTGGGTACATTTTTATTTAAGATAATATTTTATTTTCAATAATGAATGTTCTATATTATTATATTATAATTATTACTATACCTACCTAAATCTTTCCTTGTGCAAAAATAATCACTGCAATTCTCATGATCACCGAATACATGGTTGGGGCTATTGACAATATCTTTCTTCAGCATTTTAACCGAATCCTCATACGAAATATAATTTTGTTGTTTTCTGTATTTTACCGCCTTTATAACAGCAGCACGAAGTCGTTCGACTCGACTAACTAATAAGTTGCGCATACAACCTGGTACACTTTCGCCTTTACTGCTTTTTTTTTTTTTTGAAAGTTCGTGAAGCTTATTAATATAGTTCCTCAAAATATGGTTGGAACATTCTATTTTTTTAATTACTATATCAGGACCATAGGGTTTCGCCAATCGTAAACGTTTTATGACATTACTATCGCCATCTCCTATATTATACATAATAATATGTACAGTGTTTATCAAACACGAAATATATATTATAATATAATAATGTTATCCTTAGTACTTACCAATCATTCGATTGTATATTAAATTATGCATATCTAAGCTGTTTTTAAAACCTTCAACTATAATGTCTGCTTCCATTGCAGTTGAAGGCGAATTCCAATTTTTAAAGCATAAGTGATCTTTACTTTCGATTCCTAATGTTGATGATCTATGACAAATACAACAGTATTTGTTTCTTATGCCTATGAATAAAATTTTTTTGGTTCTTTGGCCAACAATACAAGCCTGAAATTATATTTTTAAATTTTAAAATGATGACAATTTTATAAATCTTAATTATAATTACTACTCCCGATGACGCGTTGTAGTTTCTTTTATAAGATCTTTTACTCCAAGCACCATCTGTAATCACTGCTATTTTAGGGCGGCCTTGTAAATCTACCTCTCCTTTTTCGATAGCCAATTTTGCCTCTTCTTTACCAGCAGCTGCCATCTCATTCCAAGCCAAATCATACATGTGTTGGTAAACATCATTATGTACATTTTGATATGTACGATTACACATATTCGGCATATTAAGGGTAGCGCAAATCTCATCCATTTGAGAAAAACCTTGACCAACATTAACCATTGCCGTCACCATAGCCATATTAATATTCAAATCATTTGTTTTAGGATCTTCATTATAAATATTTTCATTTATTCCACAATTGTTACATTTAAAAACAAATTTACTTATAAACCCATTTCTTGTTTCATTCACTAAATGTAAATCACGAAATGAACAATCAAAACCCTTATGTCGAATAGATTGAATGGACGTAATGAAAAACTGTATATCTATAAGTCTTCTTCCATTTAGTTCACAGGTCCTAATTATACAAATATTATCGTTTAATAAGTGTAAAGAATTTTTAGAATCATAGAAAATGTGTACATTTTTTTATATAATATAATATGTAGGCACGAAAAAAAGCGGGAAGTGGGTATGGGTGTGCTGTACAGTTGTATAGGTCTAGGATATTTTATATTTTTATTACCATTAGTAATTTATTTTACTGTTAGTACAATAGTATATTCGTCTACGTTTGAATTTAAAATGACTATAAAAAAAACTATGTTAATATAATATTAAGATTTTTTTGGTTCCAAATGAAATACTTATGAAGAAACTTTTTATAAATATTCAAATTTTAGCTATACAAATTGCACGTTTTATAATTTTGTTACTATAAAATAGTTAGCAAATGTGATTTTGAAGAATTTTTCAATATTTAAACTCAAAAGCTTACAAAAAAATTTTACCCTATGCACTTTTAATATTTTTCAACTACAATAATTGTAACAATATATCAGGAGCCTTGTATTAAATTTTCACACATTTTTATCCAACAAATAAAATTATATTGACAATTATAGAAAAAAAAACTAAACATGTGGGTAAGTGGATGCCGCTCTGAGGTACAGTAGGTTACATGTGGGTCACTGTAATGGATGGTATTAAATTTGAATTCAATGATATAATATCATTATATTTTAAGAACAACGATTCTGAGCAAAAACGGTCAGTCATATTTAAATACCAGTTACTTACTTTTCACTAATACATCTAGATAGACCTGGCGTACTATAGACCAGCTGGTGAGCTTCAATATTTGTATCAATATTTTTTGCCGTTGTATTATCTGGACTAGTTGCTACGTTCTAAAAGAATAACTTATATCTTTATTAAATCCTTATAATATAATCATCAATAGAATTAAAAAAATTGAAAATAGGTAAATAAAAAAAAAAATTTATTAATTAAAAAAAAATATAATAAATTGTATATTATTACTTGTTGGTAGTCGTCTGTAGCACTTTCGCATTTTTTAGTGTTCAAGTTGGCTAAATTATGTTTTAGTTTTTTCTTTGGAACAAATAATTTCCGACGACATTTTTTACCAAAATGCCAATCTTTACCCATTTTTGAAAAAATAACACAACTTCACAAAATATTACGCACAGAACAATATTCAACGATTGAAGACTGAAAAGTGATTGAGTGAACACAGAAATGCCAAACTAATAATCGAAGGAGACTTCACTTCCGGAGTAATACCTACTATTATTTCCAAGAACATTACTATATCCGTTCCTTATCGATCATTAGGCTAATGACACTGGTAACATGTCGTCTACGATTCTAAGAACAGTCTCACACAAGCACGCGCATGCACAGGTCACCATATTGAATTTTTGAGATTTTTCCGTTTTTAAAATCGGTACAAAATAGCTATAAGAGAAAGATTTATTTAGTTACTTCCCATGACCCGATTTAAATTTTGAAAATAAGTCTGTATTCGATAACTATTTTACTAGGTTATGTAGGAAAAATAAATGATGTTTTAAAATTGAATGTATGTGTATAAAATAAAAATACTTTCATAATTTTTTAAAAAATAAACATATTTTTTAAGCCTTATTGAATACAAAAATCAAAAATCTGTTTCCTACATAACCTAGAAAATTTGATGATGAGCTCATACATATTTTTAAAATAATAATCGGACATCGGGAAGTACATAAACTAATCTTCCGCTTATTGGTCTAAAACTACCAAAAATACGGTGTGCTCCAACAGCCTTAATTGTTAAATTATTAAATTGTAATTATTATTTATGGTGCCTAGTGCCTACTACCTAGTACCTATATAAAAAAAAATGTATTATAATATTGAGTTAAGAATTAAGATCTAAAATGTACTTGTATAGTTAAATTACCTATATACAATATAAGGTACCTTAATTGACAAGTAGTTTATGAGATAGAGAGCAAATTTCAATAAAACTTTCATCTTACAAGTAGCACAGAATATTAGAATTAATACATTATATTATTTTTACATATTTGCATTTTAGTGTTTTAATTTATTAACGTAATAACTAAAAACTATAGTATGACATACCTGTTAATACTTGATTTGCAATAACAATAATTGTTGTGAATACCTATTTAATATTCTATTTTGAAGTTCATACCTAAAGGTACCTATACTTACTTCGAAATTCAAATACTGTGCAGATATTTGTGTAGGTATGCATAAAAAAAATAACAACAATAAATTAAATTTATGAGTAGTTCATAATTTATTTTGGTAGTATCGATTCACTTGCACTTTGTAGTGTTTTTAATACTTAAATAATTGGTTTAATAGTAGGTATATATTAAGTATGAAAAATATTTGAGTAGTTTGAGTAACATTTTAAAATGTTACTCAAACTACTCAAATACTTTTAAAAATTATCTTTACAACACTACAAATGTCAAATTGCTAAGTTACATACTGACTACAATTAATAGTAACTTGATTGTAAAATAGATCATAAATTGCATAAATATAAAATTTAACATACATTTAAATCTCCTGGATAGTTGTTATATACACTTATTAAATCTGCAGCTGAAAAATGATTTTGACAAACATAATGAGCAATGGAACTTTTACCATTAGCTTTAGAGACAGCTTCGTTCCATGCTGTTAAAATATTAACTTCTTTTGGTGCTTTGAACAATGTACATTTAATTTTGTTTTTCAAAATATGGCATTAATCTACACTACACCGCCTAGGCATTTTGGTAATTTATCTTAAATAATAAATAAATGTAATGTACTATTGAAATATTGGTAATAAAAAAGTACAACATAGAATGAATTTTAGATAGGATTCACAGAATAGACTAAAATAATCTTTTATGTATGGTCAATACTTGCTCAGTACCTATTCTGTACTTAATTTAATAACATATACATACAAATAAAGTATAATATATCTTAGATTAAGTTGTTTAGTATAAAATATATTATACACATTCAAGAAACAAAATTAGATACAAGATGTGTATAACAAGTCTAAAGTTTATTATATATTTCATTATTTCATACAGTAACATAGGGATTATTTATAGGCTTATAATAGTTGCCAATAGATGGCAGAGCGGTCGCGGTTGTACAGGCGTCAGAAAGGAACCGTTGTACATTTGGCCCAGACCCCGCACTCCGCCAGCTCATTCGTTTCCAGTCCTGTATATCTTAGTCCGTGTCACGAACGTGTTTGTATATATGTATATATGTTATCACGCACCCGTTAACATAATATTTGTGTTTAGTTTTTATTTAAAATATTTGTACACGTTATATACGAAATAATAATTCAGGTATAAAAATATTATTTATTATGTTTTTTTTAAAATCAACTAGTTCATTTCGTCATAATCACTACCCCACCCCTCATACTTGTCCATAAGTCTATAGAGTTGCTCGTTATTTCCATCATTACTCCAATCCATTTCGACTGACGGCTGGTCTGAAGGCTGCGTCGTGTGTTATCTTATAGGCGCACGAGGAATTAACATATTCGGTGAATCTATAGATGACGATGATTCAAGTTCTGGAAATAAATCTGGCGACGATATTACATTGTACTGCGGTGGTGTATTTTGTGACGGTGTATTTTGAGGTACCGATGGTTCATGAATTGGGCTCGGAAAATATCGTTCCCAATTATCCATTAATATTATGGGTGAATCCGGACTTGTTAAATAGCCGCTATCTCCAGTTCGGTTCTAAATAATATTGGGATTTGTATTTTATGTTTTGTTTTTTTTAAAATATAAACTTACCAGGGCGCGATTTCTGAGCCTGTTGTTATAACCCTCTATTAATAGTTCAAAGGGCTGTGCATCCGGACTATATACCGGATTTTGTTCCATAGGCCGTTGATGACGCCTAATAGTATCCGGCGACAAGCTCGGTGATAAACGTCTATTATAATCTCCCCAATCACTTTGTGATGAATTAGAAATTTTTTTGAAATAACGTGTTTGTATGTTACAAGCTTATAACAAACTGATGAAAACGCGCTGCACCTTTTTGTCAAAAGACCTACTCTTATATATAAACATATATAAATTATCCAGTGGGACCAAACCTTACCCAGAGTCAATCAGGTTATAATGACAGTAACTCTTAACTGTTAAATTCCTCTTTTTTGTCCAAATATCTAATCTTATTTATAATATATCCAGTGACGCCAAACCTCTCACACTCGGTATATATTATGTCCTGCGTTGTATTATATGAAAACATATCATGGTTTTCAAACTATCAAGACCTGATCCACCATATGCGTTCGGCGCCGCCGAATATATCAACCTCATATAACATTTTAATGTATAGTATAATGTATAGTCAATAAGGTAATAATGACGGTATCTCTTATTGTATAACTGTTAAAATGATTTCATTTCCTTTTTTTTCTTAGAAAAGTATACCCCACCGAATATATCACTGACAACTAGGGTATTCCTTATTGTTTAGCTTTAAAAATGTATACCGTCTTATAAAAATCTCCCTATATTACCGATTTAGTCGTATTTATTCTTTCGACACCTATGAACCTAAAATTTTTATTCCTGTGCTACTCTGTTAAAAATACTCTGTTAAAATTACTATGGACGCCAATTCGAGTAAATATATATATATTTAATATTTAATATTAGTGCGATTTTTTTTTCTACAGTCTTAGAAGTAGTGCATGATTATTTCGAAAGCACGTTGGAAAACATGCTTTCTCCGTTATGCGGCACAAAAGCTCATAAAACAAAAAATTGCATGGATTGCAGAAAGAAAGCACGTATGTTCTGTTATTTATATCATCTAGAGGGTCAGCCGTTCTGGTCCGAATTCGTCTCCGAATCTGAATGGCTGATACCTCTATTAGCTAGGTATTCAAGTTATGAGTTCGAATATTTTTTTAGGAAAATATATCAGTTTGTGTATCGATTAGAATGTGATAGGGCTCATGCTAACTGGAACTTCTATTTGGCGTGCAGTAGTCTGGTTTTCGATAATGTTTCAGGGCCCAGATATTTTGATAATCTAGCTTCTAAAACTTATAACTCTAAACGTTTACATGACGAGGACCTGGAATTGAAGAACGTCCAGATAGGAGGTAATTATTGGCACACTTTAATATTCAGAATTTTCCTCAAGTCATGTGATCGCTCGGATTTAAAAGTTTTAGATTACTTAGATTTACATAATAAACTAGGTCCTGAAATAAAAAATCAGAAAAATATTTTGTTCCAGTTAGGTATTGAAATCGATAATACAAAAGTTAGAGCTTTATATGGTGATCGAGGGTATACTTTTGGGTATACATATAGGGAAGACCGCGTTCGTGAGCGATTATCTACTGAGGAGGAGACTTGGTGACATTATGCAAGTATTTTAGTTTTTAAAATATTACTTAGTGAGAAAAGGTCGAAATAAAATCTTTTGTTATACGTTACATACGGTGAGGATTGTTAGCATGATGGGTGAGCGGTAGCGGGGGAATGTCATCTTATTACGTACATGTTAGGGATGGTCAGTTAGTACATTCCGCACTGTTGTTGTGTTATAACGTTCGCTCCACAATAATTTAAAAATGTTTAAATGCGATCAATGTGATTTGGAATTCGTATACAAGACCAATCTGACTGCTCACCGGAAAACACATTTGAAAATGTTTAAATGTGATCAATGTACTTCAGAATTCATGGCGAAACGGAGTTTGGTCGCTCACCAAAAAACCCATGAAGGTATTCGTTTTCCTTGCACTGGATGTTGCATTACATTCAGACCATTCAGTTACAAAACCAACCTCAAAAAACATTTGAAAAATATTCACGGTAAGAATTTCTGTTTAGCACTTTAAATATTTATATTATATATATTTTTATAATAGGTATCGTACAAGCCCCGATTCAGCAAAGAAATATCCGAGTCCAACCACATGTACCCACCCCCGATAATGTTCGTGGTAAGTATTGTTGATTATCACTTTAAATATTTATTTATTATATAATATTATATTATATTATATTATATTTTTACTAGACACCGTACAGCAGGGAAATATACAGATCGCACCACATATATTCGTTCCCGATATTCCGGCAGGACCGTCACGACTTACCACTCCAACAGTGCTACCAACCAGAAATGACCGCGCATCAACCATGCGAGATTGTCTGGCAGAACAGCCTACCCAAAATGATAACGTATTATCAGTACGAGATAAACAAAATACCCAAGTGCCAACAATACGAGATAATATAACGGACACATTTTACAACGACATGGATGATGATGAAGTTTACGCTCAAGTCGCAGATATTATCGAGGATCTTGGATACTGTGAAAAGGAAGGTTAGTAATTTAATTTTTATAAACGCGGCATAGACTAATTAGGTTTTTTTTTTAAAAGATTCATACATTACGCTTGATAATGGAAAACGCGTTTCCAGTGCCAACACTAGATCAGCAGTTAGGGCAAAAAAATTACGTTTGAATCTCGTAAAGTCCCCCGGATTTCAGTCAATATCTACATCAGCAAACAATACTAACACCTGGTATTACGTAAAAAACACCAATAATATTCAAAACTATATTTACTTACTATATAGTGTATTAAAAAATATTTTTAAAGAAATTGAATACCTTAGTTAAAGGAATTGATATTTATAATAAAAGAATGGAATCTATAAACAATCATAATAAGTTACAAGAAACCGAAATGCAAAACGAAGTAGAAAACTATATATTAAATAAAAAAAAATAAAAAAATGTTATGTGAAATTTTGTGCTTTTGAATATTATAAAAATAATGAAAATATAATAAAATATAATCTTAATGAAATTCCAATTAAAGGAAAAATTGTATTCATCGAGAACCATTTAGAACCAACTTATGTTTATGTTTCTAAATGTCTACGATCACCAACTTGGTTAGAACTTTGTAAAATAGCTAATGATCAAATAATTGCAAACAGTACAAATTCATTCGAATATCTCTATAATATTAGTGTAATGAAAACTTTAGGAGATATTAAAATATGTTCTTTTGGTATGACAATACGTAGAATATAATTATATTATTAATTTAATTTTTTAATAGAATTGTTCTATTAAAAAAATGTTCAATATTTAACGCTCACCCGAATAGGGGACGCGTTATTAAAATCCAAAAATTTTTGAAAACGATTTTACACTATGATACTATGAGGGGGACTTATAAAGAATTAAAATCAAAAATGTTTAATGTAAAAATGAAGATTCTAACATAAAAAGCAACGGAGTTATACTTAAATGAAAAATATGAAGCGGGGGGTAAACTTTTAATATGTAGTGTAGATAAGCATATAAAACATATCTGTGTTGATCCGACTTGATAATATCAAATATTAAATGAAATATAGGATTTATACGACCGTATTATTTTTAATAATTTTGATGGAAAAAACGGAAAAAAATGCAAAAAATTTACAAAATCATTCCCAGCTTTGCAGATACCCGTTAGGAAAAAAGGAGGCCGGAACTCTTTTACAGATATCTGCAAAGGGGCGATTGTAAACTCCACCGATTTACAGGTAGTCGATTTTAGGGTTGGATTTATAACATGTAAATTCCACCGATACATTTTTTTTACCTGAAAAAAAAATGTAAACTCCACCGATACGTATTTTTGACCTGAAAACACGTAAACTCCACCGATGGTAAAATCCACAGATTAAAACTATATGTATAGTGTATACACATCAACTTTTGACTGACTTATCTTAAACTTCATCTTAAGAGGACGTCTCACCCGGATGTGTTGTCTCCGTCTTACACACCTACGACATAGCAAATTTTCGTTGAATACTTAATATGAATACTTAATATGAATACTTTACATACCCATAACTCACTTAAAAATTAAAATATCGTAAAAATCGTTTAGACTCTGAAGATGTTTCTAATTTTTTTGCAATAGAATTAATGTCTATAAAGCCCGAAAGCTCCAAATTAACAGAATTTGCAGATTATAATATTTTAGACACCCTCAAAGCTGCATCTAAACATTATCAAACCAAATTTTAAAACCAAACAAATTTTTTTAAAACCTAAATTTTCTTTAAGTAATTTTTTTTTTATTCATTTATTTTAATTAACATTTTTTTAACTACGAACTAGTGATCACTTTTAATTATTATTATATCATTTATTTTAATATTGTGTAAAAAAAGATATAAGTATCTAAATATAATATATATAAATAATAAATCTGTACATAAATTATGTAGGAACGTATTACCTATAACGTAATGTTAATAATTATAGATTTTTCTATTTTTTTCTATTTGATTTTTATATGATTTTTTTTTTAAATTATTGTTAATTAATAATTATATATTTTTCAATTTTCTATTTTTGCTATTTGATTTTTATATGATTTTTTTTAAAAATGATTGTTAATTATTATTAATAATTATACGTGTTTTCAGGTCAAAAATACGTATCGGTGGAGTTTACATTTTTTTTTCAGGTAAAAAAAATGTACCGGTGGAGTTTACATTTTTTTTTTCAGGTAAAAAAAACGTACCGGTGGAGTTTACATGAAAAAAGGTCTAAAAAGGTCGCAATCGGTGGAGTTTACATGCGCCCCTGCAAAGCTATCGTGGGCAGTGAAGTTACCCAAGTGCTTTATTCAGCAGGTCAACGACAGTTTTTCAGTAGATTGCATAGGTGTGTGCACCCACTTATACAATCTACCGTAAACGTCTTCAAAGCCTGACGAAATTAGGTGAATATGCAGCGCTACACATTCCCCCACTAGTTTCAATCCGACCAAGAACACATTTAAATCAAACGCCTTAACCACTGAGCTACAACACTTGGGCATGTA